TTTTCTGTCAGCTTGTGTTGTAGGGAAGAGTAAAGATATTAAAAATTAGTAATTGCAAAGGCCTTTCTAGATAGTGTTGAATATGGGTTAAGATAGTGTTTGCTCCTCCTCTCAATCTGACATGGTTGAGCGAACAAGAGAAAAGATGTCTGACGGTCTGACTTTCTCACTCTGCCTACTGCAAGACCTATTCATAGATGTTTTCAGTCCGAGACGACATGCCCACGGATCGCCCACAGTGCATTCACTGACCATCTGATGCATTTTCACTAAAAACTGGAAAGTGCTTTCTTGATCTGCTCTAATCTTATTGGCTGACTTTTCCCACTTCTGGAAATAAGGGCATGCATTGCTTCTTTAAAAAAAAAAAAAAAAATGTTATCAGTCCACCTGGAAACAAAGAAACAAGTAAACTAAACATCCACAAGCAGAAACATATGTTCGGAATTATATCTGTCAAATAGTCAGTGCTTAATACCAGATTCTTTACACCCTTTTCACTAGTGTTTTCTGTTCTGTTTAAATATTTCTTAAGCTTGTTAATTATTGTGGTATCACTTGCTACTAAATAGCACATGCAACATTTTTAGACCTTTTGCTATATAGTTAAGTACATTGTTATGCTAGACAAATTCATACATCATACTATGGCTGCAAAGAAACATGCACATCACTATACAACTAAGAATTTATATATATATATACTGTATATACACTGCAGTATGCTTTATTAGTAGACTGAATTAATTGTAGAGAATGTAAAGTGTCTCTCTTTACAAAGTGGCTGACCTAAAACCTTCTAGATGATGCTCCTGTAGATGAAATGCTCTCTAGTCAATTAAAATGTGGAAATACAGTCTGTTCACAAGTCGGAGAGGTGATAGTGCTCCTAGCAAAAATATCAGCTCTTCTAAATCACAGCTCATTACAAATAGTTGCATTTATACATGAAGGCAGTAGCTTTTTATCATGAGCATATATGTGGAATGGAGCCTCCTTTAGTCATACATTAAACTGCTGTCTTGTTCAGTAGATAAAATGAGATAAAAACATTTTCCATCCTGAATGTTCATAGGATTTTTTTTTTTTTTTTTCTTGCTGTAAAGAGACTGCCTGGTGGCTGAGTGAAGTGATGGGGCACAATTCCCAAAATCACAGTGCTGGACATAAACAGATAGTGAAAGGGAGCATAAATGCGTCCATCATTCATACGCACACATACATGCACGCACGCATCGCACGCCCCAGGGTAGAAGACGTGCTGTACTGGTGAATGAAAAGGGCCTGAGAGAGGCTTTCACATAACACAAATTTAACTGCCACTGTCAGTTTAGGACAGATATGATGGAGCCTGTGGCCTAGATACTGGCAGTAGTTTAAAAGGAGGACTATGTGCTGGATGAATGTGTGTGACATTCAGCAGCAGAAAGGCTATATACGAGTGTGTTTGTAATATAAAACATAAGGGGGATGTATATGCCCGGACGCATATTTCTACGCCAGTGAACATTTCCTATAGAGTGAGTTTTATTTTGAAAGTCATTGTCTTTATAGTCACTTGACTCTAATCAGAATATATGCCATGTTTTATTGTGTTCACTTAACCAGCATGTTGTCATTTATGAGATGCTTTAATCCAAAGTGACTTCCAGTGCTCTTGTTACAGGGACAAAACCCCTTAAAGCAGCCTTGGGTGAAGTGGCTTCCTCAAGGCCTCAGTGATGATTGCTCATGGATACTTCCTTGCGTGCTCAAATAATCACGAGCCATTCCATTTTACCGCCTAACATGACCCCACTGTTAAAATAATAATAGGATTAGCAGAAGTGTTTTTGTAAACAGTGGGATGATCAGTATAAAGCATTTTTTTATGTTTTATTTTAATTATATATTATATTATGTTATATTATATCATATCATATAAATCATAATATATTATATCATATTATGGCATTGAGGGGTGGATGTATTGATAGATTCTTAAAGCTGCAGTCCCCAGTTTTTCCTCTTTCGCCATCTCTGTTCGAAATCTGCAATTGCAGTTATTCACATATCAATCTTACGTGAATCGTGCCTCGACACGACACAGCGCGGATGAACACAATGTTTGAGTGTGAGGCTGTCAGTCATCACGCCGGTGTGGATACTGGCATTCAGAATCACAGATTCTACTTTTTGGAAGTATAACCAACATATTAGTCTCACCTGAAAATGACATCTAAACAAGAAACAAACATCCACTTTTGTTCTGATTCTGACATTGCAGTAAATCGCGCTGATTAAATCTAACAATCTTTTATCATATCATGCGAAACCGTGCAAATTATTCTTTGTTCTCAAACTGTTAATGTTAACAACGTCAGCATTGCGTGGCTACATGAAATGTCCTTCCGATATGTATCCTTGTTTTTGCATGGGTCCGGTCTCCTTTTTTTTCTGTAGCCACTCCAAAGTCCGAACAAAGTCTTTTGTATTTTACAGCGGGTGAATCTGTTGTCACTGGTGATTTGTTGTTTGAACCTTTCTGGATCCGCCATCAAATTTGTAAGTTTAATTATATCAAGTGCTGTGAGAAAAGGCTATAAATCTCTACCTCCAGCATTCTCACACGCAATATAGCTTAAAGTAGTCGAGACTCCTTCTTTATGTGTACAGATGTGAAGCAATGACTCAATATACAGTAGCTTATACTGGCCAAGACTCTTCTTCATGTGTACAGATGTGACGTAATGACGCGAAACATTCTTGAATTTCCTGTGGAAATCTACCAGTACCACTGGAATTAAAAATATTATTACAACCTTACCGCTTTGAATCGAGCTACGGCAAGCAGAGAGTTTTGAACACTGGCTGGTTATGTATTTTCTCAAATATGTATTTTCATAATTTTTAAGCCCAAAAAAAGCTATGGACTGCAGCTTTAAATATATTTTTTTATTAGATTAGATTAGATAAAACATTGTCATTGATTGGTTGTATGTATTGATAGACTTAAAATATGAATATCGTAAAATAAACATTGGTCAACTTTTCAAAGTGACTGCTTTCTTATGTTTTTTTTTTGAAAATCCCAAATGAAATGCCGATTTAAACACATATTAAAAATTGTTTTAAAAACCTTATTTTTCTTTTCAATCATGTGGTGACCTTTCTTAAAGTACCATAAGCAAAAGCAAGATTTAGGTTCAGTGAATCTTACATGTCAAACAGCTGTCTGAAGGATTCCTCCTATATCTCCAGTATTCTTAATTGCCTTAAATGCTGTTGGTTCAAATGTAGATGTGTCCGGTCCGTTCAGCTTTGCAGTTTTCATGACCGAGATTCACAGCTGATACTGAATTTATAATGTTTTTTCGGTTTTAATTTGTTATCACACTATGCATCATTAAAGGGATAGTTTACCCAAAAATGAAAATTATACCATTATTTACTCACCCTCAAGTTGTTCCAGACCTCTATGTGTTTATTTGTTCTGCTGAACACAAATGAAGATATTTGGAAGAATGTTTTAATCAAACAGATCTCAAACCCTATTGACTACCTAGTATGCATTTTTTCCTACTATGGAAGTCAATGGGGATTGAGATCTTTTTGATTAAAACATTCTTCCGAATATCTTCCTTTGTGTCCAGCAGAACAAATAAACAGAGGTTTGGAACAACTTGAGGGTGAGTAAATGATGAAAGAATTTTCATTTTTCGGTGAACTATCCCTTTAATAAAGGAGGAGTTGCATTGCATATTTGCTTTGCTATATTGAGGGCTTTGAGTGTTGAGCTAAAGCAAGCATCAATTGCTAATGCTCATGTTTTTTAAAACATGAATTGTATTGCTAATCTGAAAGATCAGACTTTCACCAGGCAGATGATAAAATCCAATCCAATGACTGACCCAAGTCAAGTCACCTTTATTTATTTAGCGCTTTTTACAATACAGATTGTATCAAAGCAGTTTCACAGTGATAACATTAAAATAATACAACAAAGTTTGTTTTTAGAAGATGATGTTGAGGATCAGTGCCGATGGCTGTCGTGTCGATGAGATGGGTTAAGGATGAATCGTATGGGACCAGGCGCAGATCCACCATAGAGGGTCCCTCGGGATAAACAGAGAGACTAATATTAGCGTAGACGCCATCCTTCTTATGACGTACCAAGTACACCAGGATTTACGGGACGTGTTCCCGGTTCCGGCTGATCTAAACTATGCAGCCTAATTTTGAATTAAGGAAGTCTATTGTGTGTTATGTGTATGCTAGGCCAAAGAGATGTGTTTTTAGTCTAGATTTGAACTGACAGAGTCTGTCTGCTTCCTGGATATTAGAAATATAGGGTCTTGTGAGTGGACCCTTGACATGGGTTAATAAATAACTGTGTCTGCTAAATGACTAAATCTAAATGTAAAATAACTGCCTAGCAATAACATGTTAGACAACATGAATAATTACTCATGACACCAACCACATCCCACAGCCACTCCCTGGCAACCACCCAGAACGCCCTACTATCCTAACAGCAAGCATCACGCACCATCTTTTTTCTCTCATCCTGATTGATGCAAAATTGTTTGAGGCCTGGTTTCAGAGACAGGGCTTATATTAAGCCAGGAGTAGGCATTAGTTAAAATGCCTATATTTTAAGATATGTCTTTTCAAGTTGCTTTCAGTTAAAACCGCTCAAACATACATTTTAGACTGGGACTATCCCTAGTTTCCTAGTCTGTGAAACTGGGCATCAAAGTTCTTATAAAAATTAAACTGCATCTGTATTTTATTTTATCTAGTAAACATATATTTAATATAAATATATTTGAGAAGCTAAATCGTGTAAGGTTTGGCTTTTTTCAGAGAATATATCTTTAATTAAGTTCATATTTTAACTACAGTGAAATTTTGTGAGGTTTATGCTAAAAATGTGTTACGTTTATACATTTAGTAAAACGAAGGAAAAAAACATGTAGATATTGGTATTTAACATTTTTCCTCTGTTTCTGTATTTGCAGTGAAATATTTGGCACTATCTGACTCTGCACCCATCTGGAGTTGAGCTCCGACCCTGATTATTAGGATCGACTGCAAGGCCCTAACTCGTCAACCTCGACGTCACTCTTTGCTTCGCCCATAGTAGATCGATGAGCCTGGGAGGTTAGTGTCTGAATGTTTGTCATATATTTGGCAAAGCTCCAATATCCCAATCTCTCTTTCTCTCCCTCAAGATTTGCATTGCTCTTTCAATCACACCCTTTGGACATTCTTTTATCTCACTCAAAATATACTCAAAAGTGATTGCCTGAAATGTATTGTTGATCTGTATACACCTTTTTATGGAATACTTTCTTAAATTCCAACACTGGAATTCATTTTGTATACATGGTTTAAACCGTAATACATGCAGCTTTTAAAGATCCAGACTGTGAATGATTTCAGCACAGACATGCTTTTAAACTTTTTCATTGAAATATTTCTTGCAGCCTTAAATTAATCTGCTCTATCAGATTGCAGCTGGATTTGTCTCTTATCTTCCGGCAATCCCTCTGATATTCATTCTGCTTCAAGCGCAAAAGGTTGGGTAATATTTGTTGTCATTGCAACAGCTGTGCTTTGTGTATTATAAATAATGAAAAGAGGAAGAAGCAGTAGGCATGGACCACACCATTGTCATAATGGGGTTGTTGTTGTTGTCACTATCTAAAACCCTTACATCAGCTCTCATGGGGCAATCCAATAGCTCTTTACTTCATGGTTTTGTGTCATTGATTCATGGTTTGTTTGTTTGTTTGTTCATTTATTTGTTTTGTTTTTTTTTCCCTCGATGTGAAATGTTTCCTGGATTCTCAAGTGAACATTTTGAAATGAACATTTTAACACTAGAAGTGCCAGAATTCCAGAACTACTAGAACTGCCACAAGCGGTCATTTTTTTACCGTTAGATTGCAAACTCATAGGCTATCTTTAATGATTAATACCCAATTGAGAGATCAATGCATTCATTGTATTTGGATATCTTTTAAAAACAAAACAACACCAAACTGTACATTTAAGTTTAATTATACATTTATACATAATAATATCATTAGTAGGCTAGCCCGTAATTATCACATATTCACAGCAAATAGGCTATTTATACCATGTCCATTCAACATAACTCAGAAGAAGATAATAACAACTAAAAGCATCTTATTTAGATATTCTTTTGACAGCGAGAGAGACAATGTCACAGTTTATGAATTCGCTGTCTCCTTTCTCGTCTTCTGTGTGTGTGTGCGTGCGTGGTCGCTGATCATTGCCGCATCAGCGAACCCTTTTTAGTGTCACTATTGTCGCCTAGTCTTTGTCAGACCGTTGTGGATGTTTTGCGTATTTGTTCCCTGCCTGTATCCTTTTTCCGTGTGTCATCCATCCGTGTTCAGCACTCGATGGTTCTACACTATACTGGACATTTGCACACCTTAAGGGAGCATTTCACCCATTTCAACATTAATCTTTATTGAAAGTGGATCATATATGTAGTCGAAATGTAAAAGAATTTTTGAATTTGGTGCCCTCTTGACCGAGAAAAGACATTTGTATGAATGACTACATTACCCACAATGCACCACATTGCACAGCTCCGGAAGCCACACCCACTAATCCGGAACTGCACGCACATCAGAGGAATCATTTGTTCGTCAACAAGGCTAACTTTAGCTGTCACCAGAGTTTGAAATTCATTTCACACAAAATTTCTAGTTAGTTGGCTGTGGCGAGCAGCAGGATGAGGGACGTGAGAGCGGTGCGAGAGGACGGCGTGAGGCCGGTAGCGTGAGTGATAATAAAAGACGAGACGCACCGACCGGTCTCGCATATCTCACGGAGGAGCGGGAGCATAAACGGCAGATCGAGAGAGAAACAGGCCTGATTTTATGTAGTGTGTGGACAACATTCGTCAATGAGAGGCTGTTGGCTTATACTTTCGTTTTGTATTTGTTCATTTTACTATTAAAATGTTTAAATATTCACCAGTTCTCTCCTCCTTCTTAAAGTCCCCGTGAACCAGAAGTTGCAAACGATTTTTCTCCAGTGCTGTGACGTATTTCCAAGTGAAACGGAATATTGAACAGAGGGCAGGGTTTTACTCTAGCGCTCTCCATCTCTCGCTCATAGCAAACTAACGGTTTGAGGGGAGTGGTTAAGCGTTTCCCCACCCAAACTGTGAAACCTACGTCATCAGAAAAAGAAACCGTTCCAGGCCGGAAGTAACTTTTCAGATTTTGATTAAAGATTACTAAGGTAAAACATTTTTTTAATATATATTCACTTGCACGGATTAATTGTTCACCACAAGACTAGTAATATGCGCTAACAAAGTAAATAGGTTCAATTTTGATTTCACGGGGACTTTAATAGTAATTTTGACTATTTTTATGATATCTTGCATCATTTTTTAAACTTGAAAGCTTAGTTCCCATTCATTGGAAAAGAGCGACCGGCACATTTTTCTAAATATCTGTGTGTGTGTGTGTGTGTTTCACTGCTAAATTTGGTGATAAATAATGTCAGATTGTCTTTTTTTGTGTTATCTAAACTATTAAACCTTAAAATGGTAAATATGTGAATAACATTCACTTCTACAAGGCCTGTTTGGTGGAGTCTGAGGTTTGACATTAAATTAGATAACTGGAGTCATCTGAAATTCCACTGCGTTAAGTGGACAAGGAGAAGCATGAAAAAGCATTGAAAAGTGAACTATTTTCGGTCACCACTGTGTTGGATTAGTATTATGAAATTCGGCTGCATGCAAAAACTATCCTGGTAAGTGTGACATTTTCATTAGTGGCGTTCTTTGTCTTTACTATTACATCATCTAAGAGTTTGTTCACCTTTAAATGTCCTTGATGTGCCCTTGATGTCTTGAGTCATTTGTTGTTTGAAATACAATGTATCCTGAAGAAGGGTGTAGTGGAAGTGATGTGTAAATAATGACCAGAACGACACAAACACATGAAGACAGCAGTCAGGCTGGAGGAAGATGAATACAAAATCACCTTCCAGTCTTGCAATAGTTCCTGTTGAAAGAGAATAACAGTACTGATTAAATTCCCATGATGTCGTTGAGGCTATATTTTGCTATAGAGACACATTTTATAGGAAGGCTGGATTAACAAGGCAAAAGTCAGCTCACCAAGGCATGTTCTTGTGCAGTACAGAGAAATTTTAAGACAATTTTCTTCACACTTCTTGTAAATCACTGATTAAGCCAGTAAATTCAATGATATTAAGAATGGTGAGGGTTATTTTATTTCATTTTATTATTTTAAATACTGTTGTAAGTATCCAGGTTAAATTCTGCTGCAGTTCTGTAGGAATCGTCACGGCTGGACTGAATGTCCTTGACCTACTGAGTGACTGTAACATCATTCCTCATTATTCTGACAAATATAATTATTTCAGTTGCTACGCGTGTTTTTATTGGCTGATCCAGTTACAGTGAGTCACAGGTCAGACTTGATTTGCCGAAGGCAGATGTGAGTGGGTAGGGGGAGGGTAGATCCATACCATTGATTGACTATATTAGAGAGGTATGCTAATGTGTCTTCATTTATGTCTTTTCTCAAAGCATCCCAAGACACTGTTTGAAATGGAGAACCGTGTCATTTTAATAAACCGTCCTTGAGGGAAACCAGGGTGGAATAATACACAACAGTACACGCAGTTCAGCTGTAGTTAGGAGAATAAAAAATGGCATCTATCAGAGAAGATTCATTTATAAATGCTGTTGTTGTTGTTTTTGTAACTTTATACCAAGAAATAAACATTCTAGTCATTAATTATTGACATGGATGTGTCTATAGCTTGAATTTGTCCTAGATCATCAGATGTGACGTTATGCTGCCTTAAAAGTCGTTCATTGCTAGATTTCCTGGTAATTCCGGGTGGTAAAGTACAGTTACACTGGACAAAATGTTTAGGATTTACTCTGAAACAATTTTCACTCAGAAATTGCTTGTAAATTTCATAAATATTTACCCAGAAACACATTCAATCCAATTTTGAGGTACTGTAGAAAGATTGAAATAGTTTTTCTTGTAAAATGTTCTTCATTAATCTTTATTTTATCCCACATTGAATTTTTTACGGTGTACTGTAATTGTGATTTATAAAGTATATCACGGATAATCACGTGACATTGTTTTGTATGGCCTCTTGTAGCTGTCGCAGCGATATTGCAGTGGATTCTGTTCACAGCATTGTGGATTCAGCTGAGTCTGCTTTCTCTCATAGCGTGACACCATATGTCAATGTGTCCAGTCGAGTGTGCTTTAATAAGCCTGAATCAGTAAATCAGTGGGTGGAGTTTGACTGGTTTTAATGGTCTTGTTTGACCCTTAATGGAATGTCCCACCCAAACACAGTCCGTCATTGACAGGAGCACTTAGAAGGCTATTGTGCGTCTCTCTCTCTCTCTCGATCAACCACCGCCCCTTTACTACGTCTGTCACTATCCTGGGAGTTAAATCTGGCAGTGCATAATCTTGTTAGGAGAATGATTTGCTCAAACTGGCTATGCGCTCTGTGTGTGTATTTTAATTTTTTTTTTACTGTTTTCATGTGTATGCAATCGGGGATTTGGAAGAGACTCCTCGATCAGAAACAACCGACGGAAATAATTGCAGTGGTTCATTTTGTTTTGGTGTTGACATGAGCTCATTGTGTGTATGAGGATACATCAAGCTTATTCAGAGTCACACTCGTTTTGTGTTCGTTTGAATTACACTAATTCACTTCCAGCTTTGAGGAACCACACAGAGACTGTTTTGACGGTTGTCATTGAGCTGCTGTTTGAGTCACAGTCTTTGTGTCTATAGAGGATACTGCTGGAGCTGTGACTCATTGTAAAGTCTTAGATTCACATGCTTCATGACGGTGTCTGAAATGCATAAAATGCTGCCTAGAACCTCAAAATGTATGATGTCTCCATATATAGGTGTATCTTTTGCTGCCTATGATATACAACAATTCTGTACACACATGGCAGTTGGTTGAAAGAAAACAAATGGCGTCAGTCAGAGTGGTTTGTATTTATATAAAAATAAAATATATTAAAGTTATTTACTATTCTTTTATACATGAATTCAATTATTTTTTATTCTAGCTTGTATTATCTT